TAGGCTGGCGAGGAGGGAGTTACAGTAGTCAAGTCGGGAGATGATAAGGGAGTGAATGAGTTGCTTTGTGGTTTCTGGAGTTGGGAACGGATGTATTTTGGAGATGTTGAGGAGATGGAGCCTGCATGAATTTGTCAGCGATTGAACCTGGGGCTGGAAAGACAGATTGGAGTCTAGAATGACACCTAGTACTTTGGCTTGCGGGGTGGGACTGATGGTGGCGTTGCTGGTCGTGATGGAGAGGTTGGGGGGGCGTGGGCTGGGGGGGGGGAAAACTAGGAGCTCGGTTTTGGAAAGGTTTAGTTTAAGGAAGTGGAGTGACATCCAGTCTGATATGTCGTTCAGAAGGCTAGTGATTCGGGTGGAGACTGAAGGGGTGAGGTGAGGTGAGGATGGAGAGATAGGTTTGAGTGTCATCGGCATAGAGATGGTAGTTGAAGCCGTGGGAGTGTATCAGTTGACCAAGGGAGGAGGTGTAGATGGAGAAGAGAAGGGGCCCGAGAACAGAACCTTGGGGGACCCCAACAGATAGGGGGAGTGAAGGGGAGGTGGTAGCGTTATAGGTAACACTGAAGGAGCGTTGTGATAGATAGGAAGAGAGCCAGGAGAGAGCGGAGTCTCTGAGGCCAAAAGAGTATAGTTTTTTAAAGAGGAGGAGGGGGTGGTCGACCGTGTCGAAAGCCACGGAGAGGTCGAGGAGTAATAGCACTGAGTAGTGGCCTTTGGCTTTGGCGGTTAGCAGGTTGTTGGTGAGTTTGAGTAAGGCAGTTTCGGTGGAGTGTAGGGGACGGAAGCCAGATTGTAGGGGATCAAGGAGGTTGTTGTCGGTGAGGTGGGAGCATAGGCGAGTATAGGCTAAGCGCTCAGGGAGTTTGGATGAGAATGGCAGCAGGGAGATGGGTCTAAGGTTGTTCAGGTCAGTGGGATCCAGGGAGGGTTTTTTAAGTATGGGAGTGATGTGCGCGTGCAATTACCAGTTAAAGTAGCGCAGTGCTAAATAACAAAAAAATGGTCTGGTCATGAAGGGGGTAAAATCAACCGGAGCTTAAGTGGTTACATTTATATTATTGGCAAGGCAACACAAAACTAGCATTGGAAGTGTATAAAGCAGGTATTTTGCACGCCTACAAAACTGATCCCGCGGGAAATCCTAACTATATTAACGTGCGTGCCCCTGGCAATCTTCGCTTTCCTTTTTTTTTTCTGTTATAAACAAAACTTTTATTTCAGTTACGTATGAAAAAAAATCTGCTGCTGATTGCAAAGTGTAATTAACAATGTAAAGAATGTAAAGCAGCTAAATAATTCCATGCCAAGAAAGTGCAATAAAAATACAGCACGGGAAGATAAAAAGAAAAAAAAAAAGTCAGAAGAGTTTCTTTTGGTAAAGCAAATAAAGGAATTTCGTTTCAGTACTCTTGTTGATTAAATCTAAATGTAGGCCAAAAAAATTCTTTATGGTTATCAGCGAAGTCTAGAATAATAAACAGATTTGTAACAATGCTAAGTATGTTTTGTTTGCGGAACGCTCACGTACATCTGGAAGCCAGAAGTCTGCCGCATGAGAAGAAATAGATGGATGTTGCTAATGATTGTGACTCATAGACACTGCAATGCATTTATTGTTCGGAGGGGGGCTTCACCTTGACCTTTCTACACGAGCAAAACGAAATAGCAAATTTACAGGGCGAAAAGTGGTCAGGAAATGTTAATGCTTTAAACAGTTATTCAATGTGCTCCCAATGCTTTTGAAGACATTAGAAGCAGCTTAAGTGTTCAGGCCAGATTTAGGGAAAGAGAAAACAGTTGGTTTTGCTTCTAGTTCCTGGTGCAGGAAATGTTCGGCTTCGGAATGGAATCCCAGTGGATTACACCAAAACTTTCAGCACCTAATCAGGTAATGCGGGTTAGGGTGGTTTCTAGGGGTTGGGTTAAAGAGACCCTGTCGTTAGATCGTTCACAGAACGGATAAAGGAGAAGCAGGGAGATCCTTGCACTTCAGGTCTTCAGATACAGCTTTCTCTCCATCAAGCAGAACAGTGAGCAGCACAGATCGACATCACCATATCAGGGCAGAATAGCAGTCAGCCAGGCAGCCAGCTTCCCCAGCAGTCCATCAGGTATGAGTAATGCATAAAATTTGAAAAAAGGTTAGCGCTCAGTGATTATTATTATTTTTTTATACAGTAGTTATATAGCGCCAACGGTTTGCTCAGTGCTGTACATTATAATGGGAGACAGTACATGAGACAGTACAGTAACAATACAATACAATACACGAGGGGTTTCGCAGGCCCTGCTCCTTGGAGCTTACAATCTAGGAGGGAGGGGAGAGTGGTACAGGAGGAAATAGCTGTGTGGGAGGAGTGGAGGAGATCAGCAAATTAGGTGAGGGCGGGATAGGCTTCTCTGAAGAGATGGGTTTTCAGGGTGCGACTGAAGGTGAGGAGGGAAGGTGACAGTCTGATGGATTGGGGTAGTGAGTTCCAGAGGATGGGGGAAGCCCTGGAAAAGTCCTGGAGACGGGCATGGGAGGAGGAGACCAGGGAACTGGAAAGAAGGAGGTCTTGTGAGGAGCGGAGAGTGCGTTTTGGGTGGTAGATGGATATCAGGTTATTACTATTAATATTATTATACAGGATTTATAAAACGCCAACACACCAAACTGAGCATGTGCAGCTTGCCCAAGGCTCTGTTCTGTCAGCAGATGGATTGAGGACAGTAGAAGATGGGGAGGATCAGAGAAGACAGGATCAAACATCCTTTTTACACAATGCAGAGGATTAACCTCTTAGGTTTCACAGTGAGTATACCAAGCATGCTTTACTACATATAGAGACTGATTTTGGTTTAGTTACACTTTAAATGGGAAGGGGGGTTAAACCCTCATTTACAGTGCTGGGCTATTAGCAAGTGAGAAGTCAAGCATTATACAGCAGCCCAAGGCTGCTTAGAGAGGCAGCAACACTGAGCCAGTTGTATGGATTGAGGAAGCCTGTCGGAACCAGGATTACAGCAAAGTTTCCAGTTGTTTTTGTGTTTATTAAAAGTCAGCAGCTACAAAAACTGTAGCTGCTGACCTTTAACCTCCCTAGCGGTATGATTATTTCAGATTTTTTGGTGCTGAAAGCGGTACATTTTTTTTGCATGGAAATATGTACTTTTTTTATTGTAGGTCTGTAATTTAGGAATAACTCACTGAAATCTGTCTGAACAAGAGTCTAGTAAACATCCCGGGGATGATAAAACTTGAAACACGAAATCATAAATTATAATTTAATAAATAATCATAAAAAAATAATAATATAATAATAATAAATTTAATTCAATAATATAATCAAACCAAAAACACTGAAATGTGAAATACAGCGCCAAGTTCGCACATCACTGAGCAAAGTCGCAGAATCGTTTTCAGTGTCTGATGCGGAATTTCCCCCACGAATCATTATCATTCAATTCTGCAAGTGGTTTCTGATTTACTATCGCTGTTCTCTAGCCGGTCTAAAACCGCTTTTGACCTAAAGGGACGCTTTTTGGACGCCATGGACGTTTCTCAGTTTCCAGGCGGAAAGAACAGTCAAAATGCAGGCAGGGCGCCGGACAAAGCACTCGGGACAAAATGTATGTGAAATGCTTTGATACAGGAATGTTTTTGCTATGAAATAATCATTTAAAAAAAAATGTCATTTTTTTTAAATTTTCAAATTTGCCGCCGGTTCCGGCGCCCGTACGTCCCGACGTCACAGGTACCGGAACACGGAAGCCAGATGCCGGCATCGGCCGGAGGAGATGGCCGGGGACGCTGCAGGGGGGGACATCGCGGGAGCGAAGGACAAGGTAAGCGCTGTAGGGAATCCCTGTGCAACGCCACATGGTAAGCCCGAGTGTAGCTCGGGGTAACCGCTTTTGGTACTGAAACTTTACCCCGAGCTACACTCGGGAATACCGCCACGGGGTTAATAAACACAAACTTACCTGACCCGGAGTCCAGTGATGAGCCACCCACACCTTCCCTTCTCTCCCTCTTCTCCCACTGGCACCGGCATCTCAACTGTGGGCACCTGGATGTGAGAGCTCGCGGCTTCATAGCCAGGTGCCCACTGCACATGTGCGAGTCATGCTGCGCCTCCCGGAAGGTCCGGCAGTCTTCTCCGTCCCATAAGACTGCAGGGGCGAAGGAAGGAGGCAGAACTTCAGGCTCAGTTTGCTGTGGCCAAAACCAAGTACCCGCTCTCCCCCCAAAAATCTACCATTATCACAAATGCCATCTGGAGAGACATTCTGCCTTCTAAGTATATTGTGAAGATTCTGGTCCATTCAATGGAACACCAAGAAAATAAATACAATTGATATGGGGAGGTTTCAGTATGAGAAGGGTGATTTATTTTAATGGACACATTAATTATCCATCTATATGTCTGCAAAGGACATTAGCAATGATGTATTATGTTTTCTACTCTTTAGCCCCACATGCATCAAGTCCCAGGGGAGAAGGTGGACACGCGACAGGCAAGTAGTAGGAAGTACCATCGTAAAACAGTTGTTGAAGGTTACTAGCAGAGCTACAAGAAGATGTTCTTATTATAGAGTTTGAATGTATTGACCTATAAACTTTCACTGAGCTAGAAGCTTTTATGTGCAGCTATTAAGTATGTTACTGATCATCACCCATACCATGCAACCATTACTAACTTCAGCTGTAGACACTGGGTCAGCCTTTCTCAATCTGGGTTCTGTGGAAGCCTAGGGTTCATCCAGAGGCTGCTAGGGATTCCTTGGACAATGAGCAACTTCTGTTACTGTAACCAAACAAAACTTGGGGGAAACGGTTCCATTATATGTCGGAACTCTTCTCCAAAACTATGGTGACAGAAATTCTAAGTTATATGGCAAGAGTGCCTTGACTATTGTAACTCCCTCCTCATTGGCCTACCTCATCGCAGGCTATCCCCTGTTCAGTCTATCATGAATGCTGCTGCCAGACTCATCCACCTTACTAACCGTTCCGTATCTGCCACCCCTCTCTGCCAATCCCTCCACTGGCCTCCACTCAGTGTCCTCCACCCCTCTCTGCCAATCCCTCCACTGGCCTCCACTCAGTGTCCTCCACCCCTCTCTGCCAATCCCTCCACTGGCCTCCACTCAGTGTCCTCCACCCCTCTCTGCCAATCCCTCCACTGGCCTCCACTCAGTGTCCTCCACCCCTCTCTGCCAATCCCTCCACTGACCTCCACTCAGTGTCCTTCACCCCTCTCTGCCAATCACTTCACTGGGTCCACTCAGTGTCCTTCACCCCTCTCTGCCAATCCCTCCACTGGCCTCCACTCAGTGTCCTCCACCCCTCTCTGCCAATCCCTCCACTGGCCTCCACTCAGTGTCCTCCACCCCTCTCTGCCAATCCCTCCACTGACCTCCACTCAGTGTCCTCCACCCCTCTCTGCCAATCACTCCACTGGCCTCCACTCAGTGTCCTTCACCCCTCTCTGACAATCCCTCCACTGACCTCCATTCAGTGTCCTCCACCTCTCTCTGACAATCCCTCCACTGACCTCCACTCAGTGTCCTTCACCCCTCTCTGCCAATCACTCCACTGGCTACCACTCAGTGTCCTTCACCCCTCTCTGCCAAGCCCTCCACTGACCTCCATTCAGAGTCCTCCACCCCTCTCTGCCAATCCCTCCACTGACCTCCACTCAGTGTCCTTCACCCCTCTCTGCCAATCACTTCACTGGGTCCACTCAGTGTCCTTCACCCCTCTCTGCCAATCCCTCCACTGGCCTCCACTCAGTGTCCTCCACCCCTCTCTGCCAATCCCTCCACTGGCCTCCACTCAGTGTCCTCCACCCCTCTCTGCCAATCCCTCCACTGACCTCCACTCAGTGTCCTCCACCCCTCTCTGCCAATCACTCCACTGGCCTCCACTCAGTGTCCTTCACCCCTCTCTGACAATCCCTCCACTGACCTCCATCCATTCAGTGTCCTCCACCCCTCTCTGACAATCCCTCCACTGACCTCCACTCAGTGTCCTTCACCCCTCTCTGCCAATCACTCCACTGGCTACCACTCAGTGTCCTTCACCCCTCTCTGCCAAGCCCTCCACTGACCTCCATTCAGAGTCCTCCACCCCCCTCTCTGCCAATCCCTCCACTGGCTTCCCATTGCCCAACAGATAAAATTCAAAACATTAACAATCACATATAAAGCCATTTATAACTCTGCTCCAAATTACATCACCAATCTTGTCTCCAAATATCACCCGAACCGTCCTCTCCGCTCCTTGCACGACTTCCTGCTCTCTAGCTCCCTCATCTCCTCCTCCCATGCTCATCTCCAGGACTTCTCCAGAGCTTCCCCCATCCTCTTGAACTCTCTACCCCAATTTATCAGACTATCGCCTACTCTGCTCACTTTTAGGCGATCTCTGAAAACCTCTCTCTTCAGGGAAGCCTATCCTGCCCTCAGCTAATAATGGAATCTTCTACTCTTCCTACCAGTCCATCCCCCACAGTTACCTTTGGTACCACTAGTCCCTCCCTCCTAGATTGTAAGCTCCAAGGATCAGGGCCCTCCTATCCCTCTTGTATTGAACTGTATTGTTGCTGTATTGTCTCCCGTTATATTGGAACTGTTGGCGCTATATAAATCCTGTATAATCATAATAATAATAAATACATGTGGTCAACACTTGCACAAATGTCCCATGGTAAGGACTCTTCCAATGCTCTTCATCTTGAGCCACTAGTAAACCCAGGCTCTACCATGCACATTCCTCTCTTAAGGTGGATGCTCATTCTTCTACACCCTACTCCCTTTTTTTTTTTCGGAACCCCCAGACCGTTGGCTTATACATCCCCCTCTATATATAGGCCAAGTAATGGACCACCACACCAAGTAAACAGGACAAACCCAAAAGGAGTTACCCCTTATTACAACCAGGCAGGAATATTTTAAATAAAAGGCTGACAAGCTCCTTCCTACCTCCATGTGGCTCTCAGGCTTCCTGAATGGCCACATTGAAATGAATGGAATTTGGAGCACTTTGGCCAGATAGGAAGATTTTAAATTAAAGGCAGTAGGCAGGCTGCATGGGGAAGATCACTGGAGCTTAGCAGTGGAGGAGGGAGGCAATACTATATACAGAGAATGAACTATGACTACATGGCTTCTAATTTTAAAAACATATGCGCATGACTAACTTTAAACAGAAGTATTTTTAAATTTGTTTTTCTGATATGAAACCAGAATTACCAAAATGTAAAGAGTTGATAGTGAAGTTTTTCCTAAAAAGAACCTGCGCTGCAGAATGACGCACTCACACTGGTTCGGGAGAATGAGAAATGGAGAATGAAAATATGAATCTGATTGGTTGCTGTGGACCAACGCATGTAGTTCATGTTAAAGAGATTTCGATAAAAGAGGTGTATGGCAGAGATCTCCTTACCAGCATTTGCAAGAACATCTGACAGCTGCAGGAAGGCCAATTCTTAGTGCAAAACCAAAAAGACAGCTGGCTCCTGATTGGATGAATGCCACAACCATCCAATTAGAAGCCATCTGGCATGTCTCGCTCTCCATCGGATCATTTCGATTTCCTACGGTTTAACAGCTTTTTTTATATCCTGTGACATAACAACATATACTGTATGTTATATTCTATAAAAGTGATACTTTTAATCCTGCACATAATACATAAAGCCAATAAACTATTTTGTAAGTTTACAGGGGAATTCCACTTTTGCTAAAAAAAAAATAATAATAATAATAATTATTATTTATATATATATATATATATATAGCTTTGTACATTTGCCACACAGTCCATATTGTAATTTAACATTATTAAAAATTGCCTTTCCATTTCTATTTGTAGCCTCTGTCAATTTCTAAAACAGGCAAAAAATTCAATGCAATATGACAAACTGAAATTGTTCTGCACACCGATGGTGTATAGAACACCTCCAGAAGTGCAATTTCCCAACCCAGCAGCATCTACACAGGGCACCCATCATTATAAAACCTAAATTTTACAAAGACCAATGGCCAAAAGAAAATTCATTTTTGACTATGGGTCATATAGACTCATGACGATGCCATTTGTGAAATTCAGGTTTGAAAAAGAGAACCAAAGAAGAAGATTGGCATCACACTGTGTAGGTTAGAACTTCCTTGAAGCACTGGGGTTCACAAAGGTCCTTTGTTGGAATCCCAGCAAGGACCCTGTCTGCATGGTATTTGCCTGCTTTCCCATTTCCTTTTCTTTTCTTTCCATACTCCAAAACCATTCTGGTAGGTTAACTGGCTCAGCTGAGTGTGTCCTACATGGATGTCTCATCTGTTAGGTCAGTTTTTCTCAACCTGGGATCCATGGAACCCTTGGGTTCCCCCAGAGGTTGCTAGGGGCTTCCCTGAGCAATGAGCAATGTCTGACTCTCAGATAAGTAAGCACTGACACCAATGACTTTTTTTTAGCTATCTCTAAAGGTGGATTATTTCCATTGACCACAAATGTAAGAAAAATTCTGTAGCACTCTCCTAGTTGAGATGCTAGGCAAATGTAGTTATTTTTGGCTATTTGTAATCCGTGGAGCTACAGTTGAGTTCTTGGCCTGTTCATGGTTTCCCAGGTGGTGAAACTGATTATTTTCCCCTGTCTCTGTTGATAAATTTCCAGAGTTTAAGGAGGGAAATGCAAATCTGAATATTTACTAAACTAGTAGATGTTCAGAGAAGGGGGTAAGTAGGCTGGAACCTGTTCAGACTTGTTCTGCCCTTGGAGGAAGGGGACCGGTGTGGTTCTTCTCCTGGAGGAAGGGGAACAGGAAGGGGAACAGTGTGGTTCTTCTCCTGGAGGAAGGGGAACAGTGTGGTTCTTCTCCTGGAGGAAGGGGAACAGTGTGGTTCTTCTCCTGGAGGAAGGGGAACAGTGTGGTTCTTCTCCTGGAGGAAGGGGAACAGTGTGGTTCTTCTCCTGGAGGAAGGGGAACAGTGTGGTTCTTCTCCTGGAGGAAGGGGAACAGTGTGGTTTTTCTCCTGAAGAAAGTGGAGCAGTGTGGTTTTTCCCCTGGAGGAGACAAAATGGGGATTGTGTGCTTTAGGGGGCAGCTAGGCCCAGAGGTTTTCTTGAACAGGCTGCAGGGCTACTCATCTCCTCCTGGAACAAGCCTATGGTCTGGAATCTACTGGGATTCATGAGCAGAGCCTCATCTCCTGAGCTGCAGTTTTATCTATAATCCCCAGCTGTGTATACAATAGACTGTTCCAGTATGCTAAGTGTGCTTTCTCTCTTTATTCTGTGTTCGTCACCTTCAGAAGTTCTAGACTGATCCAGTCTACTTCTTGTTCTTTAAAGTTCTAATATTCTCCTGGGCTGCAGCTGGGAGTGAAAATAGACTAGTGCTAGTGTCCTCTAAGATCAGCATCCATTACAAGTTGTGCGTGATGTTTGGAGTATCCCATACCACCCTGTGCCCTCCCCAAGTTCATTCAGCAATAAATGTTTAAATATACACTCATTGGCAACTTTATTAGGTACACCTGTTCAATTGGTTGGTAACACAAATTACTAATCAGCCAATCACATGGCAGCAACTCAATGCATTTAGGCATGTGGACATGGTGAAGAAGACTTGCTGGAGTTCAAACCAAGCATCAGAATGAGGAAGAAAGGGGATTTAAGTGTCTTTGAACGTGGCATGGTTGTTGGTGTCAGATAGGCTGGTCTGAGTATTTAAAAAACTCATAATCTACTTGGATTTTCACGCACAACCATCTCTAGGGTTTTGCAGAGAATGGTCTGAAAAAGAGAAAATATCCAGTGAGCGGCAATTGTGTGGACGGAAATGCCTTCTTGATGTCAGAGGCCAGAGGAGAATGGGCAGGCATATTGCTGTGACATTCAGATGGTAGGGTATTCAGAAAGCATGGATCCATCCTGCCTTGTATCAACGGTTCAGGCTGGCGGTGGTGGTGTCATGGTGTGGTGGATCCATCCTGCCTTGTATCAACGGTTCAGGCTGGTGGTGGTGGTGTCATGGTGTGGGGGATATTTTCTTGGCACTAGCAAGGTGTACCTAAAAAAGTGCCCGGTGAATGTATATCCTCCTAGACTGATTTCTGAGCCAAAATGAATGGACTGTTGCTGTGTGGCTGCCTCTACTCTACTGTAGGACAAATACCCTTAAACCCATTAAACGTAGCAGCTCCTATGACAGTAGTTCTTATCAGTGACCTATATGCTAATGGCTCTGAGAAGTAGATAAAGTGATTATATGTAGGGTTCCCTGAGCCTGGAAAGATATTTTGGGGTTCCTCCATGTTAAAAAGGTTGAGAAAGGCTGTCTAAGTGCTTTGTGTCTCCAAAAAAGCCCTATAGAAAGGAACATTTAAAATAAATGGCAGGTATTGCTATCACACTGTTTTCTGTTAGAACACTTTTCATATATTAGCTCCATTTTATTACTAATAACAGTTTTACTAATACAGAATACTGGGTGTCAGGGACTGTAAGTGTAAAAAGACCATCACTGTTGCTCTCAGCATCCAATCAGCTTTTCCCCCTTCATTATTCCATCATAGAATCTGGTCACCATAGGTGGTAAAAGTGGTTCTTTTGTTTACTTTGATAAATTTGGCTAACTGTAACTTTGTG